TATTTCCAGTGCTTGTGTTGCCAGTGCAATCATGACTTGAGCATTGCAGTGAGCACTGAAAATCATACTCAAGTCCTTGCTATTAGGGTCGTATTTCCAGTGCTTGAAATCATACTCAGATCCTGACTTGAGCATTGAGTAGAGTTCTAGAATACGACCCTGAGTCGCATTAAGCTGGTCAGAAAAAGCTTTATGTCCATAAGTGCGAAAATGGCGTTGGAATTCGTTTTCCATCGGCTCGTTCAACACGGGTCGACACAATAAGGGCCTATGCACACTTCGTATTTTATATGCACCGACGACGTAAACGCGTCACCTGCACGTATCTATCGCGCATTTTCATAAGAGATAGTTTTAAATTTAGTTTTATTTATTCATTTCAGTTAGGTTTTGAAATGAAGCAACTACATGAAATTCTAAGTGTAAACTCCAGTGGAGTATATCCGCTTTTAGCTTGCCACGGGATGTTTGCGTTTTAATCGATTCACTGCAGCCCCGTAAACATATAAAATACGCTGTGTGCAATAGGTTCCAACAAATCTGTTCCTGCGAATTTTTGATAGCTTTCTTTACAATCCGCGGCGTCGACACCAGATGAGTATAATGAAGAGCTTTGTCGATACCTGATCGGTAGCTTCAACCCCCGAATGGTCTACGATCGAAGGGTAGCGATGTAGTTCGAACTCCGAAGGCGCGAAGGCCACATTTCGTACCCTGATCCGAGATAATGACCGAAAGGCGGCGGTGACGCTCGAACGGGCGAATCAATAGTTAATCAGCATAATGCGACCGGTATGGTACAATATGATCACCTCAAGCCGATTCCACGTCGATAAGTGTGGTCATTCCTTAAATTGATAGTTTGTATGACCTTTTTAATCCAATGACCAATATGAAAGTGAGTAGAATCAAATAAGATGAAAATGAATTTGCCTTAATGTCCTTAGACATTCTGTACAAGTAGGTTATAGCTAGCCTGGTGGTTAAATCACCTAGTCATAGTTTTAATTTGATACAAAAATATATTCAATGGACTGAGTTTTTAGCTTAAGTACATTGTGCATTTTGATAAAATTTTGTAAATAAACTCGCAGGCAATAAATCGGGCGGTTAACTAAACTTTATCAATTTTTCCTAATACAATTTCAGGATAATAATTCCGTCTTTATTCAAGTTAATCCAAACTGCAACGGATCCCATTACCATAGCGTAATAAGACAATCATGATAACTCCATACAAACGTAGCAGCGCGTTTGAATGTGTGCGCGCCCGCCGTGTGTGGTGTACAGACACACATTTGCATAATTTTGTGTTGCTTGCGTTGCATAGCGCTGGTCGTCCAATGCGCCTTTTATTGTGGGAATGTGTGCAGTCCTACACTGCGCGCGGCGGGCGAGCACACATACAAGCCGCTGCTTATGATTGGAGTTACCGTACTTGCCTTATTATACTGTGCTGTTACGTTACCTGCCCAATTTTATTGCACTTAACACACTCATGCACTATTAAGTAAGCTAATAAAAGTATAAAGTATTGTAAGTCTGATTTAAATTTTTTAAAGCTTACGTAGTTTTAATTTATTTGTCCACATTTCTTATGATATGGGATTCTAAAATAAATACTTGCTCAATATGTGTTGCGATTTTAATAAATAAATTAACTTTTTATTTAAAGTAAAAACCGACCTCAAGAGTTTGCTTAGGCGTCACGCAAACGCGTGTCTTATGCTGGATATAGTGTTGGGTCCTTTCTATTTAGAAAAAAGAATATTTTTTGGAAAATAAATATTTTTCCTATATTTTTCCACACGTGACATTTGACGCCGTCAAAAGTAGAGACTATAAAGTTTTTTAACCTATGATACTCTTTTTTTCGCTGTTGTCGAATCATTTTAAATCTCCCTTTTCTAGAGTTGGATTTTAATCCTAGCCAGGTGGAGGGTTATCTCCTTGTACCATCAACAGTGAAGTAAAAAAATAATAAATGTAATAATCCCTGAAGCCTAAAAAAGGCTCAACTTGTTATTGCTTTATCAAAAATTATAAACATATTAAAACAAGCAACAAAATATTAAAATATATTTTATTATTGTAGATAACATTATCGCTCTTTGGTGAATAAAAATTTGGTAATTCAATGACTTTGTAACTTTAAAAAATCACGTAGTATACAATATTTTTCTTATTGAATTATATATTATTATAATATAATTTTTTTGGGGCAAGAATAAATAATACTAATGTATAGAAAAAGTTTTTTTAAACTTTCAATGAAAATACTTTCCCGCGATAGTGGGAGTTAATTTAAAAGCGACGAAATTTGATTAATAAAAAGTTAATAAATATATCACATACTACGTGAACGTATATTATGCGCCTCGATTGCATTTAAGATTCTCGACTTACAAACATAGCTAACCCGGTGGAAACAAACCTCCAACTCGTCGAAGTCGAGGAACATCTACTTATGTACTTATAAAATTCATGCTGTCGCCAATATTTTTCAAATTTTACTCGACCAGCAATAATTGTCACATAGTTACAAGAAAGATAAAAAGATTAAGAAATAGTTGGAAATAGTAGACTAATATAAAAAAAACAAGAATGTGCAAAAATAAATTTTTAGGTATTAAAAAGAAAAATTCAAGTAGGTTTTAAAAAGATAACCACAAGTTATGGTTGGGTTGTGAAAGAAAATAAAAGGAAAGCTTCAGAAGAATCAGTTAATTCTAGTTGGGATCATGATGCAGGCGATCTCTCCGGCGTCTGCCTTGAGCTCCCATTTAACTTCAACCTTCACCTTGGGGTAGGATTTGAGGACAGGCAATGTGGCTACGTAGTGAGCTTGTTGTCCAGCCTGAAAAGATATTTAAAAAAAAAATTAAACGCGGGTAAATGCTTTCGCAATTATTATTTATGTTAAATATGCAATTTATTGTGATTGCTTTTCGGTATTATAGAATATTGCGGGAGTTGATGCGACTATTTTCTTATTATATATTTTTTTGAATATTGTAAATGGGGATATTTTGCTTCATGGAAACATTATTTTATTTTTAAAAGTAGATAATACTGCATTTAAAGATTTTCAAAATTTTGCTTGCCTCATCTGGGAATCAAACCGACCAAATGTAAAAAAAAACACGTGGTTATTACCTTTTAGGTAACATCATAGATTTATGGTCGTATTCCAGAACTCTACTCAATGCTCAAGTCAGGACTTGAGTATTGCAGTGAGCACTGAAAATCATACACAAGTCCTTGCCATTAGGGTCGAATATATAATAATAGTATATAATAATAGCATTGACTTACAAATAAATGGACGACGGGTCTAATACAAAAACCACGAAAAAAATGTCCCAAGTCAACCTATTCGAAATTTAAATTGTTATGTCATCGCAGTATCGCGCTGTCCGTAGAACAAATGAAGACTAAAGCGGAGTGTCGCGCTCTGTATACGATTTTAGCGCCTTACAAGTGCGGACACTTTTTAGCGCGGACCCGACGTCCATATAATTGTAAGTCAATGAGTATAAGGGTCATATTCTAGAACTCTACTCAATGCTCAAGTCAGTAGTAGTAGTACTTGAGCATTGAGTAGAGTTCTAGAATATGACCCTTATACTGTGACTTATACTGTGAAAAACTACGACCCTGTGGGTCGTATTCTAGACCCTGAGAGTCGTATTCTAAAACTCTACTCAGGGTCTAGAATACGACCCACAGGGTCGTATTCAAGAACTCAACTCAATGCTCAAGTCAGGATTGCAATGGAAACACAAGCACTGGAAATACGACCCTAATGGAAGGTACTTGAGTGTGATTTCGAGTGCTTTAAACCATACTCAAATCCTGACTTGAGCATTGAGTAGAGTTCTAGATTAGGTGGTAACATAGTGTCGGATGAAAGATCATTCATTCATTCATAACTCTATTAATTAATTAATGGAACAGGTTGTATAGTTAGCAGTTGCCAGTAACAAAAGAAAGTAGTTTCACCGAATAAGCATTAGGCCTTTTCCAGAAGAAGCGAATTCACCGCGTATCGTCTACACGCGTATACGCGCGTACGTTGCGTCCAGAAGCGCGCGAGCGTTCGAGGACGGGTTCAGTCATCACTCAAATGTTGATATCGAAACATTGTACGAAGCAGAGAAAAAGGCGGACTTTTGAAGTTATAAGTACAGTTTTTACAAAGATTAATTTTATTTTAAGTATATTATGAAGAAAATACGAAGAAGGAAATAGTGATGGAGAAAGTTAGAACTATATTCTTATTTTAAACCAAAATTACAAGAGTTTATCCTGAAAATTCCAATAATTACGAATTCAAAGTGACAATGATGTGATTTAAGTGAAAGTGAAAACATAATTATATTGACTCCTGCCTCTTAAAAGTCTATTTTGAAAGCCCAAGGGAACTAAGTTATTTAAGAGAAAGTGAAAATAAAATGTTACAGAACCGCAATGGAAAATATTTAATGAGGATCCCGATAATTAAACGAACATATGGCGCAAAGGACTTGTATCCAAGCCAAAACTCTTAATAATAAAAAAAATGCATGAAACATCACTGGATGGTAGTGTTGGGTAGGACATGAAATTAAAATGAGTTGAAGGAGTACCTCATTTGAAAAAAGGAGGCGGTACAATGTCCTACTTCAAATGAGGTGAGGTAACGGTAAGAATGTTTGCACCTACTGCAATGAGGGAATATTAAGCACATTCTCATAACTTGATGGCATCAATTAATTGGATAGGTAACTGAAGTGTTATGATTAGTATAAATAAATGCCAATTTTAATTAGCACTATGATAGTATGATCATATGTAAAATCAGCTAAAAAGCGGGCAGTGCAGGACCAATCATTGTTGCGTTTGTTGAATTCGAAGCAGTGTGACATGAGTGAGGCTTGTGACATGAGGTGGGACATTTTTATAACATGAGGTGTTGCAACAGCGAGTGGTACAAACGAGTTGCCTCGTGTATGAGTAACTCAACATTACTGGATGGCCTACGTACTACTACAGTTTTCCCAGGCGTATCGTCTAGTAATATATTTGCTGATTGTTGGAAGAGGTTGACCGCCATGTCAGGACAAAATACGAAGTATAGAGAGTAGGATCATAGATCCCAAAAAATTGATTTATTTCCAATGTATAGTACTTAATCGCAAAAACGCAAAGAAGTCTATTATTTAGGTGTCCAAGTTGAACTAAATTGCTAGCAAGAGTTTATTACGGACTAACAGGCTTCGTTGCACTTAGTAATATATTCCCCAAACACCTTTACGCCGCATATAATACGTCGTGCAGACAATACCGTGCTTCATTCCAATGCAGTAGTACCATAACCAAATATTTAGGTATAGTTTTACTAGCAAAGTAAAAGAGTTTTAATTTTTCGGTCTGTCATGTCGTTTTTAAAGTTTCAAAAGGATGTTTTGCTGCCCACTATGGGACAATTTTGTTTCTGCATCATTTTTCGGTCTCGAGAAGCATAACAACCATCTAGCCTCAATCAGATACCATCCAGAAAGTCATGTGATTTAATTTTTCTAATCGTAAAGACTAAAAATGAAAACATAAGTCGTTAAGTCGTTTAAAAGTTATAAAGGTGTTTTATTGTTCTGATTAAATATACATTCGATCACAACTAACGACGACTAATTTTACTACGTTCGTCTTGGTGTTCTGGGTAGTGTCCCGGTGTGAAATTCGTTTCTCTGGTACCTGGTTTTAGTGCAGGGAATTCAAGTAATCTTTATTTCATAAGTATGTATGCAAATTACATTAAGGGCGCGTTCCCATTACCTATGTCGTAACGTTTTATTTATATTTCTTTCTTCTTCTTTCTTTAAATAAAACGAAACGCCAATAGTAACTGCGATGATCTGTCGTCACGTTTTTGTCGTGATGTTTTATTTATCGTCAGACGACTGTCGTTCTAGCTCTTCCCATTGTCTCGACAGCCTGTCGTCGTAACGTCAAAAAAGTCGTGATCGGCAGTTAATTGTGTTGTACTATATGTGAACAACTTCATTTAAATACAATGTGTTGATTTGCGTTTTCGCCATATTTACAGAGGTCATTCTATATCCGAAACTGAACCCAAATCACTAAAAAAATAAATGGAAAAAAAAAAGAATTCGTAAATTCCTATTTTTTATTTAATTGCGGTAGAAAAACAAATTTGATCCAAAGGTCATTGACTTGCACGGCGTTTGCAAACATTTTGAACAATGACCTTAAATGCGCAGAAAGAAACGCATTTTAGATCTATTTGATGTGCCTAAATGTTTATTCCATTCTACATACCTAATTATGCTCATATGCACATTACACACAACACACACGCCAGGATATATGGGTACAGGGTCAAGAGCACGTCAAGCTTGACACTTAAGATTTAAATCCAACTCTATGCCGCTTGTAATAAGAATGGTCCAAAGTACAAAGTGTCAAGCTTGATATGCTTTTGACTTGATACCTTAGAGGATGGGAAAAAATAAAAGAAGTTCATGCCCTACCTACACACAACCATACTATTCACACAGTTTAAAAATTTTTAGTCTTATCGTGATTTTAGATTTTCGCAATTGTTACACACTTAGAATAATAACGCATAGAAACCTAGTCCGCACACGCTAAGTGAGGCAAATTGAAGCGCGCCCAATGGGCCTACACGAGCGGGCGGGCCTTCAGTGCTCAAGGTCAACTTGCACCGCGAAGAATTTTAGCTAAAAATGACGAAATGTGCGGTAAATGAGTGTAAAAATACGTCAGACAAACAAAATAGATACTAACATCACATTCCACAAGGAAGTAACGCGTTTCAACTTGTATATTTATATAAATATTCACTAAAACCGAAAATTAATCTACTACTAAAACTAGCCTACATGAATTTGATTTTTGCCTCACTTGTGACAGTTCGTTTCATATGAAACTATCATTCTATGCGTTATTATTCTAAGGTTACACATAGGAAATATTATTATTTTTTCGGGTCAATTCGCATATATTTGTTTTTTCAAACAAACCAACGTTTCAGCCCTTAACGGTCCACATGGTCACGGCTGACTGAGATGCTAAAGTCATAAAATCAGTTGTCGAATATTGTTGTGTAACATTCAAATTTGTGGAAAATATTCCACCTCTAAGGGTGCAATAATTAGTGCAAATTCCCCTAATTTGAATCCGGTTTATTGGAATTGACCCACATTCCGAAAACCGATTTCAATAAAACTTGGCAAATAGATGTAAGTTCACAAACCTGTAAGGTAGGTTCTTTTTAAATAACAAAGTTATCCTATTTTATTGCAATAAATAATGATACCTTGATAGGGCAGGTGAGCCCACTGTCTTTGCACGCGTCAGGCTGCGACAGCGGAAACGGCACAGGCAGATTCATTATGATACCGTGCACTTCCGTTTCTATTTCGCCTAAGTCGACCGCTGAAAATGAATACAATTGTTTTTTAGTTATTTATTAACGTAAAGAATTTCCGGGAATCCCACTATGAATGACCTACGGGACGGTTACAGTACCACTCAGAGTTTTAAATCGCAAAGATTTGAGGGGCACCGCCACTGCGCCCGTCACCCTGAGACAAGCTGACAAGTCCCATGTGCCTGTAATCTCACCAGCAACCTTACCCTTCGAAACTCGAACACAGTAATACTGACATTACTGCTTGGCGGCAGAAATAGGTAAGGTGGCCGTACTTCCCTGGGCGAACTCTTTCACATGGAGCTCTACTGCCACTAAAATATATTACAATAAATTCTTAGTACCTACTAGCCCAGATCGAAACTTAAGTCTGTAGGTCACCCATAGTGGCAAAACGCTGTAACCACGGATTTCGTGCTTCGAGACTAGGGCCCGTGTTTCCTGCTGACCTCCAACGACATTCAGAAGATAACTATAACTACTCAAAGTCAAAGTCAAAGACTATTTATTCCATAGGTAAAATAAATTTACACTTGAAAACGTC